GAAGGAAGGCGTCCGCATATCAGGTGCTTGCAACACATGCCATCGTGTTCTTATTTTTGGCGTGTGAACATTCAACAACCAGCCCGATTTATGGGCAATAAGAGCTTATACAATATCGACTCAATCATAATGACTACTAGTGACTGACAACTATGGCAAAGTAGTGCTTCTTAATGTTTTTTATTTAGAGCCACCCTGCTGTTATCAACGATGCTCCCGTTGTCACTCCAGCCCCAGAGGTCACAGAGGTTGGTGAAACAAGAAACCAAAGCAATTGGACTAGCCTGTCGTTTTGATGTTCTTAACTTACACTTTTCAGACCTACCCTCCGATTACGTATCCACCTGAGACCCCCGCTACAGAGCCCCCAACGCTGGTTGCTTCTGATGCTGCTCAACATCAACTGGGTAAGCGCTCATTAAGTTGCAGCGACCAGTGTCTCGGGAAGCAAGATTTTCCCAAAGTCTCCGAATCTCCGAAAAAATCTCCGAGACCTAAAGAATCTCTCCTGGCTTTTTTCCCAAATGTTCGACCTTTGGAGTCCTAAGCATCTCTCCTCTCAAGGGAGGCTCTTATCTTTATAACAAGTCTCGGTTCCGCATACAGATCACTCTGTAGATCGTATAAATGCGTCTGTGGAAAGAACTTTCGAATAGAGCTGATTATCACTCCCAATTTGGTTTCGCTTGGAGTGTTTTTTTGACATTTAAAATACACACTTGATTACGCATAAGGCTGCGTTTATACTTTGCGGCAGCGTAGCGTAGCGCTTCCAGCGTACGCCAGCGGCAGTGTCGGGGAAAGGATAGGTATCGATCTAGCGTTCCCAGCGTCACCAGCGTACGCTAGCGTAGCGAGGGCACGGGATGTGTAGGTATTGATCTAGCGCTACCAGCGTTTCACTAGCGTTTCGCTAGCGCTTGAGTACAAAATACTCTCCTACTCTTCGATACTCTCTAGCGTAGGAGAGCATTTTGTACTCTCCTACTCTTCTATACTCTCTAGCCCCGCCGCTGCAAACGCTAGCGAAACGCTAGTGAAACGCTGGAAGCGCTACGCTACGCTGCCGCAAAGTATAAACGCAGCCTAATTTCGACTCTCATCAGCGCCGAAGCTCAAGAAGACCGATCTGGTCTTGCCGATCAACTCGCTTTCAGGAAGGAAGTGGAAAAAACAGGGTAAAACACATTAAGCGGAAAGGGGTCCTGTGCTACCCAAGTTATGGTCCCTGAAAGTTGAGAAGTTGCGCTCACCAGAATTTTGTATCGTTGTTTCTGAGGAGAAGCCATAACACTTTTTCAGCGGTCTCACTAGTACCTGTCTGACGGAAGCTCCCTAGGGATGTCATAGCTTTGCAAAATGCTGTTTCTGAAGGAAGTTACAAAAAAAATCTTCATGGTAAAGGCGGTAGTCTAGGGTGAGGTAGCGTTGCAACCGCAACACTTGAATTGTGACGCGGCTGGAACAAGAACCGCATTAACTAACGTCCTTCTAAGTTAGACAAGTTCAGCGAATCAGTCGCATAGTGGGAGGGGAGTGTATGGTCGCCCTTTTTATGGGGGAAGGGAAGGACCCAGATCGACGGAGCAATTTTCTTGTCGCTTGACCCTGCGTGAACGTAACAATTGCAATGGTACATGGACGAAGCGTGTGATTTGCTTACTCTTCAGACGTCTGATCATCAAGTCCGGCAAGAGCGATCAGGTTTTGGGTGTCGTCGCTCCATATATATAAACACTGGTTTTTTTTCCACGGTGTTACATCGGTCACAAGGTTGAAAACACCAAAGCAACTATGAGGAATTTTTCTTATTGTAGGCAGGTGTCATGTGAATGTCACGTTGATTCTGAACAGCCGAGTATGTGGCTCATCCATATAAAGGGCTACAAGAAATCCCTCTTTTTTCCTTACTTTGGTTGAGGACTTCAAGCATTACTTACAGTCGCGACACAGTATCCTCTGACAACCACATGTGTAATGTATATGGCTGTGCCAGCTTCGTCTTGCGTTTGCCTGCCACAATACGACCAATGTGCTCAGAATATTTGCTGTCTGAAGGCGAAATTCCGCAGTCATAAGGTGAGCTGTCCCATTTCACTCTTTCACCATAAGAGCCATTGCTCACATGGATTTCTCCCCTCCAGGCGCGTCGCTACCTCATCAGAACCAACAGAAATCCAAGCAACGGTCGACATGCTCATGAATATCTTGAAGAAAATCAAGACAAAGCTCAACGACTAAAACGACTATTCCTATGTAATTCGTTCCTTATTGCATGTCTGTACAAAATAGTGTTCTTATAGAATTATAGTAAAGCAGTTAATTAGAATAATTGAACAAAGTTCAGTGGAGTTGTGAAGACACTGTAGAAGTGAGGAGATCCTCTTCTGCTTATTTGTGAAGAGTTTTAGCAAAGTGGCAGAGATGAGCGTTTGGTCTCGTTTGGCCGAAAATTGCTTGGATCCTGTTCGGGTCTTGATGTTAGGCTTTGCCGAAACCTGCGTAAGCAAGAGTAAAAGCTATCTGTCTAAGCCGCGCTTTTTGTTCGAGCACAATATTTATAGGGCCTAGCAAACAGAAGTGAAGGTAAAAGAGCTGTTACGTACGTATATGCTTCACAAGGACATTAATATTAAATTTTCAATTGTTTTATTACTGAAGACTGAACTGAAGCAGATCTGGTAAGATGAAGAAGTTGCGATGAAGATAGAAATGGAGTTCTCAAGAATTGTTCAATCTTCTAGCAGAATGTCATTCCGGTGCCTTTTTCCTCAGTCGCTTGATCTGAAAGAAGAAGCATTGCGAGGCACAAATGGGAAACTAGCATTATCCACCCTTCACCTTCCCGCTTGTGGGACTCCTTACCGGATTTTGATCTAACGCTTCCTCAGTTGAAATCTAAGTTGCAATTTTGGTATCCCGCCAAGATGGTCTTCCTGGACACAAATATCACATTCGCTTGCCGCTCCATAAGCACCAGCGCAGGAACTCTCCCACAACGTTTCCAGAAACTCATTTCCGGCGAAAAATTTATTTCCCTAACAAGAAGATATCGCCCACTCAGCGCAAAAGCGCCTAGCACATGAATTATAAGAGACGGCTCTGAAAGCCGAGTTTGAGCGCAGGAGTGTGCCAAACGCTCCCACGGCGGGCGATTTTTTATAATCGTGAACAATACAAGGGTTCAAGATATCGGGAAACATAACTTCGGCCAACTCAGCTCCCGGAAGAGGAGTCTTTCAAATTCAATAAAATTTTTAGCAGTGCGGCAGC